GGTTTTTTTTTTTTTTTTTTTTAGGTGCTGTTATCCCAGTGGGTTGGCGGGCAAGGTGTCAGGACTGCTGATTGTACGCTGGTGGGAGGACTAGTTTGGAAGAGTGTGAAGGCAGTGGACGGCAAGAAGGGATAGCGGGAGGCGAGATGAGAAGAGGATTAGACACGAACCGTGACCCGGCCCGTACGTCGCAGCACTGGAAAGGGGCCGAGAACTTATCAGGGCCGCTTGAGTCGGGAGTGGAAGGGGTTTGAGGGTGGTGGGGTGGTGGGGGGGTGTTAGTAGTTGGATGGGAGTGAGTCAGGAAGAAAGAACTCGCAAGTGTAAGGTAGCGGGGGTCCACGCCAGTTTGTCTCGTTGCTGCCCTAACTTCAGTTTTCGCTTGTCACCCTCGTCTGAATCTGGGCTTGAGGCCAGCTGACGTGCGTATCTGCTCTTGTCTTTACTTGTTCTTGTTGTCGCTTGAAGTACCTTTGGCGTTTTATCGCCCATGAATGCAGTCGCCTTTCCTTCTACAGGGACGTGCAGAAAGATTGCCGAACAGGATCTTGTATTTTTTTTGCAGTGGGCCCTTTGTCCTTCTGTCATGTAGCGGATCCCCAAGGGCGTACGCCGTTTTTTCCGTAATTGGAAAAAAAAAACAACGGGGAATCACAGGCTACGCTTGGAATCTTCAGGTAGGGGAGATGCTCGTGACTCGCCTTGGGATCTTCCGGTCCCGAATCTTGGCCTCACCAGATCTCCTCCACTGCTTTTCTCGGTCCTCTTCGTGTTTCTGCTGCCTCTTGTCTTGTCTTGTGTTGTCGCGAGCTCTGATTTGCTTCGTCTTAGATGCTCCTCTCGAGATGAACGGCTAGATAGCAGTTATCCTCCTTATGAGTATAACCACTGCAGCTCTCCGCCCTCTTCGAGATCCGACGCCCTCGTTATTGCTGCAAGCTCCGTTCCTACGTCCTCTTAGATTTTTCTCCCAAAACTAGAGGCTAGGTCTTTTAGCGCCCTACCTTGGGATGAACCTCACTGGGATGAGCGGTGAGATTTTTCCTTCCGTTGTCGCGACAGCTATTCGCCTAGGCGCTGTATCGCGCGCCCCCCCCCCCCCCCAGTGTCTCTAACCCTAACGCTAGTGTGCCAGGTGCGAGACACTCGACGGTGCGGCGGTCGACGGCCACGTTTACTTTGTTTTTACTTTTTGTTCTTGTGGAATGTTTCAGCTCGTTTCCAGGTCTGATGCAGTCATGATGTGGGAGCCGTTCTGTCAGTAGCCGTTGCACAGCACAACACAGCCTCATCATGAGTAAATCGGGCCTGAAATGTATCGTTGTGCATTCCAAAATACTATAAGAGACCTCATTGAAGTTCCTGAACTTTGACGAGGGCTCTTAGGGCCTCGCTCCAACTACACAGGAGCCGCCCAAAAGAAATTCGCATGGCGGTTTCAATATTTTCTACTGTGGGGGAACTGGGGCCTTTTTGACCCCCCGACCTTTTTTTTTGGGGGGGGGGTGGCCCAATTTTTTGTCGTGCGGGGTATCGCATGCACGCACCTCAGCGCTGTGTGCTGTGCGGCGCACGAGCACGAGGCGCCACAGGTATGCTTTGAACTCCGTGTTTGTGCGTGTGTGTGGGTGTCTGTGTGTGTTTCATGACCCAATATCAACAGAAGCCCTTGAAATACACAAGTCATGAAAACAAAGTACAGCGTTGGTCAAACCAAGGTGACCCGAACCTGAAAGAGAGAATGTGCAACAGCAGCAAAGCGACTGTTTCACGAAAACGTAAGCTGGAAACTGCAAGTCCGGACAAACTGGTATGTTGAGCTCCGGGTGCCAATACCCTCGTCTGCCCAAAGGCAGACTTGCAAAGAACCAATCAATGGAACTCCAGTCTTCTCAGCAGCAGAAGACTCAAGGCAGGACAAGCATGTTTGAGCAAAGTCAAAAAGCAGGAATTACAAAGCCGAGAGCACACGAAATGAGAACACACTGAACACTGAAGTCTCTTGATAAAGAAAAGCCCAAATTTTTGCCTCCAATAATCAACCCAACAACAATGTAGTAGCTCCACTATGATTTGACCGCCTGTACTACTCTCC